AAATAATTGCAAGTTGGGGTGCAATCGCAACTATTATAGACGTAATAACTTTAGCAGAAATCCCCCATAGATCTGCCGTTTTCTTAATATCAATAGATCTGAAATATTTTACAATATCTCCTGATAATATAATGCAAATTATTTTTACAGACATTTACATTTTGTTTGAGTAATGACTCAGCGACAGCAGGGGGGGAATTCAGTGACTTTGTAGTCAAGATCGGAATGTCGGTATAATATTGTTCAAAAGCCGTTGCAACGTCTTGATCTGATTTCGTCAAATTATTGTTAAAATTTAATTGAAAGTTTGAGTTGTGTAGTTTCATCTTGCCAGTTTCACTATTGATTACACTCCAAGTCATTTTAATTTTATTATCATCATCATCATTACAGCCCTTCACAAGTCCACTGCTGAACATAGGCCTCCCCAAAAGAATGCCACAACGCACGGTCCTGAGCCACCTGCATCCATCGACTTCCTGCATGTCTTACCAGGTCGTCACTCCATCTCGTGGGGGGACGCCCTACACTTCGCCTACCGGTACGAGGCTGCCACTCGAGAACCTTTCTTCCCCATCGGTTGTCGGATCTTCGAGCTATATGGCCGGCCCACTGCCACTTCAGCTTACTAATCCGTTGGGCTATGTCGGTTACTCTGGTTCTACTGCGGATATCCTCATTCCTAAGTTTATCACGCAGAGAAACTCCGAGCATAGCCCTCTCCATAGCTCGCTGAGCGACCTTGAGCTTCCTCATACGGCCAGCAGTGAAGGACCACGTCTCAGTTCCGTAAGTCATCACTGGCAACACGCACTGGTTGTACAATTTTGTTTTAAGGTTTTGAGGTATGTCTGACGAGAAGATGTGTCGTAGCTTCCCGAACGCTGCCCAGCCGAGTTGAATCCGTCGATTGACCTCACGGTCGAAGTTGGACTTACCTAGTCGGACTATTTGTCCCAGGTAAACATACTCGTCAACAACTTCGAGCTTAGTGCTCCCAACAACTACCGGCATAGGTGTAACATGGACATTAAACATGATCTTTGTTTTGTCCATGTTCATCCTAAGACCTATCCGTTGGGAAACACTATTGAGGTCATTGAGCATAGTGCTTAGGTCCTCCAGCGATTCTGCCATAAGGACTATATCGTCGGCAAATCGAAGGTGAGTGATGTACTCGCCATTGATGTTGATACCGTATCCTTTCCAGTCCAGAAGCTTGAAAACGTCTTCCAATGCCGCGGTGAAGAGTTTCGGGGATATGACGTCACCCTGTCTTACACCTCTCTGCAATTGGATAGGTTTCGTACTCTGGTTCTGTACTCGGATAGCCATCGTAGCCCTACTGTACAAGCACTTCAACACTTCGATATACCGACAGTCAACTTGGCACCGCTGAAGGGACTGCAGCACCGCCCAAATTTCGACGGAATCAAAGGCTTTCTCATAGTCCACATACGCCAGACATAGTGGCAAGTTGTACTCTTCGGACTTCTGTACAATTTGCCGAAGGGTATGTATGTGGTCTATGGTGCTAAAGCCCTTTCGGAAACCGGCTTGTTCGGGAGGCTGGAAGTCGTCAAGTCTGCGCGCGAGACGATTCGTAATGACTCTCGAAAACAGCACGTAGACGCGGCTCAGAAGGGAAATCGGTCTGTAGTTCTTCAAGAGAGCGTTGTCACCTTTCTTGAAGAACAAGACCACCGCACTTCTGCTCCACGCCTCCGGTGTAATGCCACCATGGAGGACGGAATTAAAGAGCTTCTGAAGGACTTCAAGTACCGGTTTTCCACCCGCTTTCAGAAGCTCCGCTGTAATTCCATCCTCGCCTGGGGCCTTACCGTTTTTAAGGTGCTGGAGAGCCATTCTAATCTCGCTCAGACTGACGTCCGGGATATCTTCGGAATAGTGTCGGATGAGACTCGCTCTTGGATCGTTACTCACACTTGCGTGTGGCTCCAACGATGATGTGTACAGCTGCCCATAGAACCTCTCAATCTCACTCAAAATCTCAGGTGTCCCGGAAACGATGCTGCCACACTCCGTCTTCAGCTTTGACAGTTGGCTCTTTCTGGCAGACAGATCTCTGGCAAAGACTTTGGAGCCTTGGTTCCGCTCGATCGCTTCTTCAATACGAGCTGTATTGAAGTTGCGTAAGTCCCGCCGCATGCATTTGGAGATCTGTCTGTTCAGATGCCTGTATGCTGTCAAGTCTGTTGAAGAATGTAGCTTCATCTCCCGTCTAACAGCCATGAGATTGAGAGTGTGATCGGAGAGTTTTTGTGTTCTTCTGCGGCGGGTCTTGCAGAACTTAGCTCCGACCGCATGGACAGTTTCCACGAGCTTGTCATTCATATCGTCCACTTCATTGCAGTCTTCCAGGCACTGAAAACGGTTTCGTAACTCGAGCTGAAAGGTTTCGGGACTTTGGAACAGAGCACGAGGGGGACGGAGCGTTGACTTCATTAGACGAGACCTCTCAAACTTAACGTTTAGGTTCAGTGTGCCTCTAACCATTCGGTGATCGCTACCAGTTTTCACCCTCGCGATCACGGAGACATCACTGAACAGTTGTCGTCTGGTCGTCATAATGAAGTCAATCTCATTTTTTGTCGAACCGTCGGGACTCGACCAGGTCCACTTCCTGTGGGGCCGCTTCTGGAAGAAAGAGTTCATCATAAAGAGTCCCTCTTTCTCCATGAAGTCGGCCAGCTGCTGGCCCCTTGGGTTCCGTTGTCCTATTCCAAATTTCCCTACTTTCAGCTCGCCGTTCTTATAAGCATTCTTAATTTTGTTACTTAAATATAAAGACTTGGCTGTGCAACACACATAACGTGACCATTTATTGTTTTTGTCAAAGTGGGACGTCTCTTGTGGAATTACGGTAGATTAAAGTTTTTGGTGGTTTACAATTTATTTATTATAGGTAAAAGGTAATACAATAATCAAAAATAATCGAAGCACTTATTACAAAGTAATTAATTAGGTTGCATGAATTACTAAGCCCTAGTAGTGGCATGACTTCTACATAGTATTTTTGTATTTGTTGGCTAAATAAATTAGTTTTAGAATATCGGGTCTGGTTTTTAGATACATATGGAGCTCAGTACAGGGTTTATATATATTTATTTTTGTAATTAAAATGGCTTTCACTACTGCGGCACGTAACTGAGTTTATCACTGGCCCATATTTTGGTCATTTAAGAAAAAACTCTTTTGACCGGCGCATTATTTCCTGGCAGACAATAATGGACTAGATAGTAGTTTTTCGCCAGCAATATTCTCATCATTCCAGCCAGTGATTTTTTCATCTGTCGCAAAATTGGAAATAAGCGATAACTCTTCAAAGACTTTCGTAGCTTGGCTGCTGCTAATAAACCCTAGCGTGATCAGCAAATCCATTACTTTTTGTATCTCATCCCAAGTAGGTGCTTTTGTTAAATTTGTCCATTGAAACAATTGTAGTTCTCTGTTGAATTTTTTTTTCTCTTTATTTGGATCACCAACAGATGATACACAATACTAACAAAAATATAACGTAACAATGCGACTACATGCTATGTGTTCATCTTCTTACAGGTAACCACAACTTACAATTGACACAACTGCTCCAAGTATTCTTTGCTTGTTCTATTAAAACTCAGCCGCTGTAGTTTTAACATCCTGCTGGTGAATAGGAATTTCAGTTCCTAGTAATTTTGCAAGTAGGTTACGGACGGCGCGAGGAAGGAAAATCATGGTATCTTTGAGTGCCAGGCTATCTCGGAGAAGATTAATTTCCTTGGCAGACTCTCTTGTAGGCGCGTACTGCCCCTCAATTTTTAACACAGTTTCATGAAATGTCACTGCTTGTGCGTGCAAGAAATATATTACAATTCTCATCTGGGAATTTCGAAAAACATTTTTAAAATATTTGGGAATTTGTCGACTTAGAAAATAGCTTTTTAAAGGCTGAAACATTTTTAGAACTCTCTCAAGCGCGAGCATTAACGCAAGCTACCTTGTAGCCCAGCAGTTTGTGATACTCTGTGTCAGTTGAAACTCTTTCAAAGATTCGACTCGAACACTGTAGATGTAGAAGAATGAAGTTAGGTCTATTTGCGAAAGCGGGATCAGTTTGCCTTCGCTTGGGACAGCAGGACAGACAGCCTGAAAGCGGGACTGTCCCGCCCAAAGCGGGACGTATGGTCACGTTAAACACACTCTTTTAAATATTTTGCAATATATTTTTTTTACATATTCTGTAAACTAAATAATTATATAATCTTTCATTGTAAAGGTCGTACAACTTTTGTCTACTCCTATGGATTCCTATTGTCGCCCACTCATTAAACGATTTGCAACTGTTTAAAGAGAGTGTTTTAGAAGTAAATGTTTTATTAAATTCAAGACTTATTAGTTTAAATAATGATCCTTAAAAATACTATTGTTTTCTATGGAAGAAAAGGCACCTTATTCACTATATTACTTCTAAATCTCTCTAAGCGATGTTCGTTTATTGGAACAAGCACAACTTTCTCAACTTTCTGTTTTTTGTGCATGTAAGGTAGCGAGACTAACTGTTAACAGTGATCAGAACTTCAATTTTGAATAATTAATTTATGTAAGGGCTCAATATCAGTCAAAATATTATCTATACAAGTTACACTAGGCGCCGCAATACGTGTTGGTTAATGATACGATACGTATCAGTTTTATAATATATAGCCGGCATACAAAATAAAAAAGATATCATTGTTTACATTAGCAATTTCGGGCAACCTCCAGTACGGCCCCTGACGCATGGCGCGTAAAAAAATTAAATTGCCGCCCACAATGAAAGTTTTTGAAATATTTCGAGTACCTATAATAAGTCCGCCAAAACGCATTGGAAAAGTGCAGGTGGACTCTTCCATTTTCCAAACAAACTAGAAATTAAGAAAATAACACGAGGCCTGTGCCTAGCAAGAAGACAAATGTAGGTTTTCATTTTTTTGAGATTTTTGAATTTCTCCTTTTAGGATGATTCTGGAGGAGTTGGTGCAATCGACCGTATAGCCAGAGGAATCGTGTCATTTGGCCGTGAATGTGGACAGCCGTTATCACCGAGTGTGTTTACCGACATCTCAGCACCGGATATAAGAGACTTTATAACTAAACACACAGGACTATAGTCCTTTAATGAAATTGCATAAATGTTATAATTAAATAAATTTAATTGAAATAGGACTTATTGAATAATTTTATAATCGCATAAAGATTAACAATATACTTTTAAGTTTTGATCTTATGCACATCTTATGCAATAATCACGACTTTAAAAATAAGGTTTTAAAGTGAAATAAAATTAAAACAAAATAAAGAATTACATATTTTTGATATTATGGTTTAATTTTGTGACATCCCACGCATTTTATTTATACAAAACATTTTTTTTTATAAAATAAGGATGACAAACGAGCACACATTCCACCTAATGATAAGTGGATACTGTAGCCCATATACATCTGCACCTATTATTGGAAGTAATTGGAAGTAAATACTAGAAATGAGTTTGGGGGTGACTCGAAATTTAGGCCTTGTCAGTTTGAATAGCCTATCATGTAGAGGATGTCATGGGGATCATGGTGAATAGGGGCAAAGAGTTCTCAATACACTTCTAGGGGGTAAAAAAGGCCAAATCCCCATTTTTTTTTTTATTTCGGCTATAACTCCACCTTTTTCGGAGGTTCGGACACAGTCTTTACTTCCCGCATCCCACTAGATTTCGATTAAGAATCAAAATGCAGATGCGTTGTCACTTCTGAGGGCTAAAATGAAATGTAAACAATAAAAAGGGTCTGCGCGTCTTTGCACTCATCATATGAAACACAGCAAGCTTGCTCAGCTGTGTCACGACAGCATTCAGTGAGAGCGTGTTCTTACCCCGATCAAACAGAACTATTCGTGCTGCAGCTATGTATATCTAGCATAAGTGGCTCTACCACGCAAATAATTTTTAATTTCAAATCTCTAATCTCTCTCTACCTCTATCCCTTACATCGAAAACAAATTTAAAACTTCATGTCCGTATTTATTTAAATATATACTGTTATAACTATGCCAGATTTCAATAATGTGAAATAATAAGAGAAGAATTTCTGTGACAGACGGGCACACTGTCAAACAACGTGCTCCATATTGCAAATTTTGGTATGGAACCGTAATGATGAGTTTATTGACATATATATCCATATATATATTAACTTCCCATGAGTAATCTTGCATCCTACATGGGTGAAATTACCGATGATGTTGCGTCCGACCGACTTGTTGCGTCCAGTATACGGACGCAAGTTTGACCCACCCTGATAATCAATCAACAGATCTCATATTATCGGTAAAACATCTGCGCAAAAAATTAGCATGGACCATGGACTTTATTTCATCATTGCAATGAATTCCGGAATTATTTTAGCTCCGCGATTTGCTGTACATTTGTAGGTCGCTACTTCTCGGCGTATATCAGCGCTGTGTATATTCAACTTTTTTCTCCATCTATTACTCCGCGTATCTTGATACCGTATATTTTATAGATTTTATTAAGTTTTTGTCAACTCAAATCGATGATTTAATTACATCCGCTAAGTGAGCTCATGATATGGGCTGTACGGGGAAGTAAAGACGAAAGGGAGCGGGAGGCTCTTACGATTCGCCCTCGGGCACTTGGCGAATATTTCTTTAGCTAGCTAATGGTCGCTGGTCGGTCATTTGGAGTCCGTTTGGAGTAGTCTTGTGCCTGCTCGGTCATTTTAGAGATCGCTCCGTACTAGTTCATTACGGACTATGAACTAGTTCGTTCTATTAGTTCTATTAGCTCTATTTGGTCATCAGTACTGCAAACCTGTTTAAATTGTATCTATCTGTATAGAATGGTTATCTTTGTCAGTCACTGACTGAATCTGTCAACAGTCAGGCTGATAGATACAATTTAAACAGGTTATTGCAGTCAGTCTCAGTCGTTCACTTAGTCTCCTTAGTAGTAGTGCCGGACGGGCGTACTTTTAAAAACATCTTAGTTTTCGGGATTAAATATTACGCAGTTAATTAATAATGCCCAGAATGTTCTATAACGTGTCGCGCTTTAATTGGTCGACTTTTTGTTTATACAGATAAGAGTTATTTTCTTAAATATTACAAAACGATGATCTATACTATAATACAAAGGGTTGTAAACATGTTGTAAAATTACACTATTGCACATTTCACTTAGGTTTATTACTAATATTTTTCCTAATTACACTTTAAATATTGTTTTTTAATCACTATTTTCAATCACTTTTTGCCGTCGCGAACAGTAGGTGGTTGTTATAAAATAACTTCAAATTTCTTTAAATCGAATTTTTTTCTTAATTCTCAGATATGCAGGTTTCCTCACAATGTTTTCCTTCACCACCGAGCACGTGGTAAATCACGTGGTAACGCACCTGCGATTCCCTTAGTGTTGCAGATGTTCACGGGCAACAGTAGAAACTTACCATTAGTTGAGCCGCATGTTCGTCTGCCCACTGTTTTATAAAAAAATAACAAACATTTCTTTGCAAGGAATCTTTTGACAGCTCATCAAGTATAACAGTTGCACTACGAAAACAGCTAAGATTTCATACGAGATAGGGACGGTCTCAGCCGTGTAGTGGCGGTCAAGAATATCCACTTCCCCATATCTTCCCGTGGGTGTCGTAAAAGGCGACAAAGGGAAACAGGCAGGAGATGGGCAGCAGCATCTTCCTGATAGTAGCCGAAATTACAATAAAAAAAACTGCGGTTGCCAACCCGCTCGCCAAGCGTGGCAACTATGGCAAATACTCCCCTATGAAGAGAGTAACAAAGAGACGGCCCTCAGTCCCCGGCGGCCCCGCTATTTTTGGCTACGGTGGCGACCATGGTAACGGCGGGGCAGGGGGTGCTAAGAATCTCCGGTAGAGGTTCGGTTGCCACCTACGACGACTTGACCTGGCAACGTACAACGCACGCACCCTGAGGACTGACGAGAAGATCGTGGAGCTGGAAGAAGAGATAGACAAGTTACGCTGGCATATTATGGGATTTTCCGAAGTCCGAAGAGAGGGGGAGCATACGGTAATCCTCGAATCCGGCAACCTGCTCTATCACCGGGAGGGCGACCATCTGTCCCAAGGAGGTGTCGGATTTATCGTCCACGAGTCTCTCGTTAACAACGTTCTAAAGATCGAGAGTGTGTCGACGAGGGTTGCGTACCTTATACTCAGAATCACCACACAGGTTTACGCACCAACCTCGGCACACCCCGATGAGGAGGTGGAGGAAATGTATGAGGATATCTCTAGAGCCATGCATTCCTCCAAAACCCAATATACGGTGTTAATGGGAGACTTAAATGCAAAACTAGGCACAAGAGAGAACGGTAAGCTGAAAGTAGGGAAATTTTGAATAGGGCAGCGGAACCCAAGAGGCCAACGGGCCAGCAGCTGGCCGACTTCATGGAGAAAGAGGGACTCTTTATGATGAGCTCTTTCTTCCAGAAGCGGCCCCACAGGAAGTGGACCTAGTCGAGCCCCGACGGTTGGACAAAAAATGAGATTGACTTCATTATGACGACCAGACGACAACTGTTCAGTGATGTCTCCGTGATCGCGAGGGTGAAAACTGGTAGCGATCACCGAATGGTTAGAGGTACACTGAACCTAAACATTAAGTTGGAGAGGTCTCGTCTAATGAAGTTAATGCTCCGCCGTCCGAAACCGTTTAGCTCAAGTTACAAAACCGTTTTCAGTGCCTAGAAAACTGCAATGAAGTGGACGATATGAATGACAAGCTCGTGGAAACTGTCCATGTGGTCGGAGCAAGTTCTGCAAGACCCGCCGCAGAATAACACAAAAACTCTCCGATCACACTCTTAATCTCATGGCTGTTAGACGGGAGATGAAGCTACATTCTTTAACAGACTTGACAGCATACAAGCAACTGAACAGACAGATCTCCAAATGCATGCGGCGGGACTTACGCAACATTAAAACAGCTTGTATTGAAGAAGCGATCAAGCGGAACCAACGCTCCAAAGTCTTTGCCAGAGATCTGTCTGCCAGAAAGAGCCAACTGTCAAAGCTGAGGACCGAGTGTGGCAGCATCGTTTCCGGGGCACCTGAGATTTTGAGTGAGATTGAGAGGTTCTATGGGCAGCTGTACACATCATCGTTGGAGCCACATGTAAATTTGAGTAACTATCCAAGAGCAAGTCTTATCCGACACTATTCCTATGATATTCCGTTGGTCAGTCTGAGCGAGATTAGAATGGCTCTCCGGCACCTTAAAAGCGGCAAGACCCTGAGCGAGGATGGAATTACAGCGGAGCTTCTGAAAGCGGGTGGAAAACCGGTTCCTAAAGTCCTTCAGAACCTTTTTAATTCCGTCAAATAGTCCGACTAGCTAAGTCCAACTTCGACCGAGAGGTCAATCGACGGATTCAACTCGGCTGGGCAGCGTTCGGGAAGCTCGACACATCTTCTCGTCAGACATACCTCAAAACCTTAAAACGAAATTGTACAACCAGTGCGTGTTGCCAGTGATGACTTACGGAACTGAGACGTGGTCCTTCACTGCTGGCCGTATGAGGAAGCTCACGGTCGCTCAGCGAGCTATGGAGAGGACTATGCTCGGAGTTTCTTTGCGTGATAAACTTAGGAATGAGGATATCCGCAGTAGAACCAGAGTGACCGACATAGCCCAACGGATTAGTAAGCTGAAGTGGCAGTGGGCCGGCCATATAGCTCGAAGAACTGACAACCGATGGGGAAGAAAGGTTCTTGAGTGGCAGCCTGGTACCGGTAGGCGAAGAGTAGGGTGACCCCCCACGAGATGGAGTGACGACCTGGTAAAACATGCAGGAAGTCTGGTACCGGTAGCCTGGTATCGGTAGGCGAAGAGTAGGGTGACCCCCCACGAGATGGAGTGACGACCTGGTAAAACATGCAGGAAGTCGATGGATGCAGGTGGCTCAGGACCGTGCTTTGTGGCATTCCTTGGGGGAGGCCTATGTTCAGCAGTGGACCTATGAAAGGCTGTAATGATGATGATGATGAGGGACGGTCTCAAGATCAACGCATTAAGTGAGCAAAACAACTACACCGTATATAAAATATAATATAGAATATACAGA